AAGCGGATTAGGAATTCGAAACTGCGAAATAATTAATTTGTTTTACAAAAGAATGACAAATTAAATATTTCGTAGTTTCGAATTCCTAATCCACATTTTGTCTGACCAACATGACCAAATGTGTGAGAGGTTATCTGTATAAAAGTTCGATTCAACTTAAAAAATTCGATTAAATGTCACCCTATCTCTCTTTTCTTTATATATGTAATATGTGCAATCAAGGATTTCAAGTTTCGATATCAAAGACAAAAAAATTGAATATGACAAAATATAATTGTTGACATATTTTTTTTTTTTTTTATAGTGATTAAGATTATAACACAATGTTGACTGCTGTACCCCTATTTTTGACACTGTTTCCTACAATGTATAATGTCTGCTTGTTTTGTTCACACATTGTTGTCAATATAATGGAATGTTATGCGACTGTCATACAAGTGAGAGGTTTAGCTAGCTATAAAACCAGGTTTAATCCGCCATTTTCTACATAAGGAAATGCCTCTACTAAGTCAGGAATATGACAGTTGTTTTCCATTCGTTTGATGTGCTTGAGCTTTTGATTTTGCCATTTGACAAGGAACTTTCCGTTTTGAATTTTCCTTGGAATTCGGTATTTTTGTTATTTTACTTTTTATATATATATAAGGAATACCTGTAAATCCATACAAAGAAAGTTATTACTTAATGTTTGGTACATTCCATGTGGTTTAAGTTTTTTTTTCAAATCTAACAGTTATTTTTGGGAGAGGTCAAGGCGTAATTGTGTACTTTAATACGACAGACAGCCCCTAAAACAGTTTAAGACCCATTGGTGGCCTTGGGCTGTATTCTACTCTTTGGTCGGGTTGTTGTCTCTTTGACACATTCCCCATTTCCATTTTCAATTTTAAGACAACTACATGTATGTTTATTAATATAGTTATTTATTTGATCTATTTCTTTAATAATGTTGTACATTTCTTTTATAATCTTTTTAATTTGTATTTTATTTACTAATTTTCTATCTTTTTTCGTACATCATTTGTTTATTTTTCTCTTTTTTTTTATCTGCATTATTTCAAACAAATGTGCATAATATGTGTTTTATCTACTTGTGATAGAACTGTCATATGTAAAATTGTGATATGTTGGTGAATAACGTAATGTGGACAACATACATATTTAAAAAAAAAACAAGTTTGAGACTTTAAAAAATGCATCTAAGGAGATGTATAGTTTCTGTTTTAACGTTAGATTTTTCTGTAATTAGTACAATTCGACTGAGACTATACGAGGTATCGTGTCAATCATACCATCTTTTAACCAACTTAATGTGTGAGGGTCTGGTTGTGGTTTACTGAATAGAGAACTATGGGTAATTACTGCAGAATAAAGGGCAAACAATTTAAAGAATAGAGAAAGATAGACAAAAAAAAAATAAAGAAAAGAGGTTAATGGGGTGCTCAACAATAAGAATAGATAATAATGGTATTTTTTTCTTTTAAATAGAGAAAAATTGTCTAAAAAATTAAAGAATACAAAATGAATGACCCCCATGTGTGAATGTGGACCTTTATAAAAGTTCTAGTTATCTAAACAAAAATCACCATAGTTACATACAATAAATAAAACTAAAAGTATTTTTGACGAAAAGTAAGTGGTGTTTAACAACAATCAATTTTAAATTAAGAATAAATGTAAAAATTGTTTAGTCTGCAAACCAAAATATTACGACTATGTATAAGATCACTGGATAAGATTTTCCGTTTTTTTATGTTTTTCAAAACTCTATCTCTAACGTTATTTCGTCCTACATATGTTGATTTACAAAATATTAAAAAGAATTAGTCGGATACTATAATCATTAAATGTATATAAAAAATGGGTAGTTGCCGTTCAACGATAGCCCCTTCCCCATAACTATAAGATGATGATGGATATATATGAATATATATGGATATTAACCCTGATTTGTACTAGACCGACACGATGAGCCGGATTTTTACGTGCTAGTTCACAAAGTAACAGTCCACAGGAAGGCATGTCACATTACCCGAACACATTATTCTGACTCCGAGCCGACCAGTCTTTGCTCTTTCTCCTAAATGCAGCGTGCTTAGCGGAGAAGCAGCAAATACCAATTTTAAAGTTTTTGGTTTGACCCGGCCGGGGTTGGAACCCACGACCTCCCGCACTCGAGGCGAACACGCTACCATGAGACCACCGAGGCGGTCCAAAACTATAAAACTTGGGTGTGTAAATGGGAACAAATGCGTTTTCAAACGTTCAATATTTCCGGGCTTCCGAACTTTTGGTCTACAGGGTACCTGATGAAGGTGTGAAAAAAAACGCGTTTTATGCATTAAAATCATATCAATTAAATGCTGATGCTTGCTTGGTCTTTAAACCAGATCAATTTCCGGTTATAATATTATTATATAGTACCTGAGTACCCAAAATAGAAATAGCTAGCCTTTTTCACAGTTTCAAATTATCTCCAAGTAAAACAGTTGATTATTTTACAGTTTCAAATTTTAAATCTCTCATTTGCATAAACCACCTTAATCCGTAATTGTAACTAATAAAGGGTAGTTTGACCAGAATACACTTTATCGACATAAATCGTTCAGTGTAAAAGGTAAGTTCTTAACAAAGAGCAATTTTGCAATCTTATTACCGATTGAAGTTGTATATATCAGTATTTTGCTTTTCAGGTGAGCTTATTAACATGTCAACACGATTTCAGCATTTTTTGTTTAAGTTAGCAATTCATATTACTTTTAGGTTTACTTGAATTTCAGTGATTTGAAATAAAAAATAAAAAATAAGTTTATTCTGATTGGTTGCTTATTGATGTTGATAACACGCCAGGAAGCTGATGAGAAATTTCATTCGGGTGGTCTGATATTATGGGTATTTGAGATATGATCGATGAATTATGTTGCTAATTGATAACATATTGTTTGATATGCGCTAATAGTCAAAATTGATACGTTTATTATTACGTATTTCATCTTCTTTAATCTGTATATCTTAATATATTTCCTATGTACGTTGTGCATGGTGTTGATATCATAATAATTATATCACAAGTCATTACATATGATATAAAAAGATGATACCTCTGTTCACAGATGCGTTTACTCGATGCTGACCGATATGTAATTATGAGATATGTATTTGTTAAAAGTAATTTGTTACACTATCAGATTGTACAAATTAGAAAGTATGGGTCTAAAACAACACTTTAAGTAAACCAGAACAACAAAACAATCAACGCCTAAGAAAATAACGTCAACATTGTAGATGTAACCCCACGAAACATGGTGTGGGGGCCTCGGCGGCCGAGTGGTCCAAGTAGTCAAACTACTGTATCACTAGCCAGTCAACACTGAGGTTGTGAGTTCGAATCCCGGACGGAGGAGGTGCTCTAGACTCCATTCTTAATTGACTAGGGTCAGTTTTCCTACCAAAGGTCGGTGGTTCTCTCCGGACACTCCAGCTTCCTCCGCAAATAAAAAAACTGACTGCCACGAAATAGCCCAATAGCTTTGAAAGTGGCGTTAAACACCAATCAATCAATCAATCAATCGAAACATGGTGATCGAGTCGGCGTAACAATTTGCATGTACCTATTAGAAATAATTTAATTCACCAAAGAGAGTAAAAATAGTCAGCCAGAATTAATGCTTCGTCTAATATATAATTTGTTAGATAAATTATGATATGTTACAATTTCCTTTCACAATCTCTTATGCGTGATCCTTAGAACGGAGCACATTTCATGTTAGACTGGTTCCCTGTCCTTTATCTGTTTGTCTCAGATACCCGTATGTTGCAAGGGAAAGAACGGAGCCTATTCCATGTTAGGTGTCATTTCGTATCATATAACTAATAATTTATAATGAAACTGAAACCAAAATAAAAGTATCCGAAAATTAAAAAAATATTGAATACTTCTGAAAATAAATGAAAATTGTCGTTTTTCTAATAATTCACGAAAAAAATCAAATAAAAGCGAACGTTGATTTATAATACTGCGAAACACAGTGACTCCTTACCTTTTTTGGAAAGTTTAAACTTTTAAAAGTTAAAGCCTTTAGACGAGTGATCTGTATCTGTATAAAGTTCTTCACCTCCCATACAGAAGATAATTATTCCCATTCAACCCATTAACTTAAAATATTTTCATCTGAAGAAAGATGTTGAAATGTATCAGTACAGTCAGTCCTGACGAATATTTTGACAATGACCACCAAAATGCGGGAGTGTTTTTCACTATACATAACCACAATGATGCATAAACCTCAAGGACTGAGAATCTCAAAACAGATTTCAACTACTCTGTTCAAAACGGATTAAAGAAAAAAAAAAAAAATAAACAAAGAAAAATTTACCACTTCAAAACTGAAAACCGCTCCTCATAGAATGTTAAGATCCATCATATATTAAACGGAGTTATAGCACAATTACTGCACTTTTAAAAGTCGCCAGTGATCAACACGACGCGGGTGCCACATATGGAGCACGATCTGCCTTCCCTTCCGAAGCACCTAAGATCACCCCCGGATTTTGCTGGCTCATGGGCTCCGTCTTTAGATGTAAATGTTGAGTTTTGTGTACTGTTGTTTGTCTTTTCATCGTATTTTGCTTTTTGTCATGTCATTGTCAGTTTTTTTTCGATTGATGAGTTTGAATATCCCTTTGGTATCTTTGTATCTCTTTCACATTTGAACATACGTAAAATATACTAAGAGATATTAATATAAATAACTTAAAAATCTATAAAATTTCGAAATATCGGGGTATACTTCCAAAATGTGTAAGATGAAATTATAATGTATTGGAGTACGTTCTTCTATGACGAAAGATAATTAATGCAAAGTAATTGTGAACAGCCTATTTTCTATAAAAATGATACAATTTCCGTCTGGACCTATACTTCATCCGGTAAGCTCTTGACCGAAAGACTAGGAAGCATCAATATAAAACGTTTTAAAAGCAAAACAAAAGAAAATGACCTTTATAAAACATCCAAAATTATGTAAGTTGACCTAAGACGGTTGTTTTTTTTTCCGGTCTTTTTGTTGGAAAATGGTCTTTCACTATCAATCTACGAAACGACATTAAATTATATAATAAACATTATTATACTTTTTATCATAACATGACGTTGTTTGCTCACTTTATTTATTCATTACAGACAAGCTGTAGCAGACACCAATGGAAAATCGCCAAAGCAGTGTAGACTTCGGAAAAGACTTACTGAAGTTTATAGAAAAAAGCTACTTCTTACCAAAGAGAGAATTTGTTGAACAATCACGACTGTATAGCGTTTACATTCAGCCACCGTTAATATTACTTTTTGTTTTATGGCAAATAATCTTATTTCGCTATTTACATAAGAAAGGTTACCTAAAAAAGTGTAGATTTTTAGTTGTATACACCACTACTGATCTCATGTCCTTTGGTATCCAGTCTGCATCCTTCGTATATTTTCTTACAGTACCGAAATATTACGTGAAATATGAATTATGTTACGTATTTGAAATTACAGTGGGAATTTTGCCCAATGTTTTGTTTTCGTTCTCGCAGTGGATGAAAACCGCTCAGGCTTTTGAAAGATTTATTATTATGTATAAACCATTCACATTCAGAAAGATCCTAAACACGACAACTGTTATAGTCTTTGTAACGATATCCACTATCTGTTCTATTGCAATATCAGTTTTCAATGTGATTGACATTAAATTCGATAAGGTAACAATAATCGATAAATACACATTTGAGTTGGTAGATATATGTCGTAGATCGGGATTTTTTAATCTTAAAGAACAGCAGAACCCTAACCACATTGTCACAATATTTGATACAATTTTTACTGCTTTCTTACCTTTTGTATTGATGACTATGTGTGCCGTAAAAACAGCGCTGATGATAAAACAGCTAAGCAACTTTAGAAGACAGCATAGTAATCCTGTATTGGCTTCGGAAATGGCTATGAATAGATTACGAATAGCTACAGCGGTATCAACTGTGTTTTTTGTGGTAGCTTTGTTTCCGTCTATGATTTTGAGGTTGTGTAATATTTTAAATGTACAAGTAAATCCGAAAGTAATTAATGTGTTTTCACTGTTGTTAAATACCTCATACATATGTAGTATTCCTGTGACTTTCATCCTTCATGCAATGCTTTCTCCAGCGTTCAGAAATATCTTCAAGAAAATAGGACAACTTTGCTGTCGAAAAGTCAACAATACAGAGATACATGTAACATCTTTGCCAAGTACAACCATCAATCTTCAGCATTGGCAAAATGGGAATGATAATGGTGCATGTAATGGTACATGTAATGATAATGATGATAGTTATGATAATAGGAAGGATGTTGATGTGGCAACAGAAAATTCATAAATTTACACATTTACGGCATCTTTTGTGACATGCGCATATCAAAGTAGTTCCCAAAGTTTACTTAAACTTACTTCTTAATCGGTTGAAATTGTCTTCTCTTATCATTAAATGTTCAATGTATATTAACGTTAGTGCCGACTAAAGACTAAATTCAAATACCTTACTACAGTGTTAAATCCATAATCTTAAGTTTAAATTCGTTCAAAAGATCAATAAGTTAACCAGGATTGTATCTAAATTCACGGACTCTATGAACAATATCGAAGTAAAATTCGGATGTGGTATACCGTTTGTATTAAAGTTGCTACGGTTACAGCCAAACTTTTAAACCAAATCTATTATGTATATATGCACAATATATATGTATATATGTGTTTATTAAGTAAAGTTTGTATGTTATTTTTGAAAACGAAATTCTGACCTTATAATTTACCATTTACATATTGAAATTTAAAACGTCAAATTAAAAACAATCTCATATTACTGGTAATCAATTAAAATGTTTATGATTATTAATTTGGAATAAGTACGTGTATATGTAATGATATTTACCGTTCATGTAATTTGTAAAGGAATTTTGTATAGCATCATACGAAATTGTATTATCGAGTTTGTTCGTATACGTACAAATGTAACTACAAAAAAAACATACTCAGTATTAAAGCGATATACATGTACGAACGCATTTTCTCTCCGTGACTGTTTCTGTAAACATTAATGAGGAAATGGATGAGGGTCCTTCATTTCTGTATTCTTTAACTTTTTAATCAATGGTTTACGTTTTTAGCCATTAATCTCTATTCTTTATTTTTTGGCCTATTTTTCTCTATTCTTTATTTTTCTATCCATTTTTCTGTGGTATTGACCTATTATTCTCTATTCTGTAAACTCCACCAGACCCTCATTTATAAATGATTAGCTGTTGTAAGTCTCTAAATGTGGGTAAGCTACAAATTTGAAAGTCAAGCATATTCATTGTTTAATGTTTGCAGAACAAAATAAAATATTATTAAAAGCAATTCCTCAACCATTTTTTTGTGTTTTCTAGTTTTGTGTTTGATTAATTGGTGTTTGCTAAACATTCAGTGGCAAATAGCTTGTCAGCATATATCTGTTCCGTCAAACGGAAGTTTCCATAAAAAAGGCTGGAAACTTTGTTACAACCAATGCCATAATATCTGTTTCAGCGGATTTAATATTACAGAATATTTCTTCTACTTGGAACTTATATTATGAAGGAACTTCTATTTCTTGACAATCTCACTCATATTTAAGCGAGAAATAAAACAACTAATTTAAAAGTTTGGTCAAGCAAATCAGGTGAACCGGGATGAAGGGCGATAATTTTGACCGCCACTTGAAAAGGAGAGTAGGTTGATATGATTCCCTATTCCGACCGGATGTGGCTGCGTATTTATACATGCTGCACAGGCCCAAACTGCTGCCCCACTTTAGCAACGGTTTTTTCAACATAGTCACCAAATTTTGAATTATTTACTTATTTACCAAACTTTGAATTATTTGCATAGTCACCAAACTTTGAATTATATAGTGAGAGAACATCATCTATGTACATGTAGCGGAAAATGAAGTTAAAGGAGAACTTATTTTCATTTTCATGAGAAGCTCTTGTATAAAGTCAGTTGCATTTGGAGAAAGGAACATGTCGGCAAGAAGAAGAGCACGATTAGTACCAATGGGAATGTCGATTGTTCGTCCTCCAAACGTAACAAACATGTTGTCAATTACGAAATCAGGCATCCTGATAATATTAGTTTCAGAGAATTTCTTGTTTGAATCCGAGTGATTTATTACAAAGTACGATTTATCCCTCCCTAAGATCAAATACTTGTATCTACGTCGGCCATTCTTTTTTATGGAACAAAGCAAGCAAGGATAACGAATCACAGTAGTACATTGTTGGATCCTATTATAACAGTGGTACTCTGACTTCGATTAGTTCAGATGTTCTTACAATATCTTCCGAAATATGACACTATTATGCAGCTGTAACATTCATCAAGAGCCCTAAATCCATAAATCGTTTGTTTAAAAGAGAGGTTTGGATGCACGACAGAAAAGATACGGAACAGTTTTGGAAATGCTAGATTTAATTAACTAGAATGTACTACTTTCCGACATAGAGGATGTTGACGAAATGTGTAATACATTTACAGTAATGTTTCGCAAGGTCGCAAGGGAGTGTATTCCTACAAAAATGGTAATCATACGAAATAATGATAGACCATGGTTTACAAATGTACTGCAAAAAGAAATCCGTATAAACGCAACAGATTAGGAAAAAAGCTTTTAAATGGAAAAGGAAATCCGATATTGTAAAATGCAAACAGTAGAGAAACAAGGTCAATAATTATTCAAAACAAAACTGCACAGAAAATTTTGAAAAAAAAACTAGATAACATTATTTTAGAAAATATATCTAATCCAAAACCCTAATGGAAATACAGATAAAAATAGGGTCATGTAATATTCTTCCACTTCAAAATATAATAAAAGATGAAAGTCAGGATGACATTGTCTATGAGAACAATGAGAAATGCGAACTTTTGAACAAATATGGTAGCTTAGTAATTTCTTCATTAGGAAAAGAAAACTTTCCTTTATCGAATGTTGAACAAAAAACTGAATCTATTTTAAATGATATATCTTTAAATCAAAACGAAATTGTCGATGTTTTAAACGTTTTTAGATCCAACAAGGCATCTGATGTAATAAGTCATATTTAAAGATGTTGAAAATTTGTCCCGAAAAGGTAGCCGTATTCCTTCAAATATTTTTTTAATAAACCATGAGCCAGTTAAAATATCCATCAAGCTTTAAAATTTCCGGTGTTATCTATATATTCAGAAAGGGTAACGATTGCTTTCCCTCTACCTTCGTAGGGGCCTCGGTGGCCGAGAGGTCTAAGTAGTCGAACTACTGTATCACTAGCCTGTCAACACTAAGGTTGTGAATTCGAATCCCGCACGTGGCAGGTGCACTCGACTCCAAACTTAGTTGACTAGAACTGTCAGTTTTCCTACCGAAGGTCGGTGGTTCTCAACGTACACTACGGCTTCCTCCACCAATACAAACTGACCGCTACGAAATAGCACAATGGTTCCAAAAGTGGCGTTAAACACCAATCGATCAATCAATCTATTTTGATACTTTGACCTTGTTAGGGAGCTGCCATTTGATTTTTATGGGGGGGCTAGGATGAAAAATTGTGTCCTGCATTTTTTGTTTTAGTTGTAATCTCTGCCCTGCCTTTTTATTTTTCACTCTATTCGATCCTGCCTTTCTTTTTTTTTTTAGTTTATCCTGACTTTTTTTACATAAATTGTCATCCTGCCTTTTTTTTTTTGGCAAAGTGTCTCATCCTGCCTTTTTTTTTACTCAAAACTCCTGTCCTGCCTATTTTTTTCAAATTCTCCTAGTGACACTCATTGGGGAAATATCTTATCATCTGACCACATAAACACTTTACTCAATTTTATTTCTGACTTCATTTTTTCTACGGACTGCGGCTGGCTTTACGTTCTTAGCAGCTCTAGCATCACCGGGTTGCCTTAATAGTGTCTCTTTATAACGTTTGGAAAAGAGTGTACAATTGATAATTATGAAATGTATGACAAAATCAAGGGACTGACCTTCTTCAGGCGAGACATTTTTGCTTGTAACGAACTTAGCTGTCGGTGAACTGGCGCATATATATGCCTCTAATACAGAAAGTCGCTTTTCGAGTGTGTTCGGTAAACTCTCTCTTAATTTACTTTTTTGACAAAATTTTTGAATTGTGTTTTTTAAAACAGACTTGATATTTTGTCCGTCAACGACATCAATTTTTATTTTGTTTTGCTTTTGCTTGCTATTTCTTACCCGGTTAAGTATTAACTCGATTATCGACCTTTATTTGTGGCTTCGTGTTTTCTTTCTCTCTGTTTTTTTTCTGTGTGACCAATGTTCTTTCGTTTTAAATCAACACCATTGCTTTTGTTAACTTAATAAAGGGTGATGCACGCACTCCATGCATGAATATAGGGCATCAAACATTTGATTTGATAAGCAGTGAACTTAAAGCACAACTTGGCAGGATTGTGTACGTAAGACATATTTGATACCCCTGCCATTATTTTGATGTATTCCGTAATGTAGTACAAGTTTGTTCATGTATCTAATGTTTCAAAGTTTTAAAAAGGGGGGCGGGGGTGAGTAGAAATTATAAAAGTTTAACATTTTACCATCCTGACAGACTGCACATCTTTAGTAAATGTACTATTATTCAGTAAAATACAAAAGTTCAAACTTTTAAACTGCAAGAATTGATAACCGGATGCATTTACATTTTATCATCAAAATGAAAAAGTTCAAGGTCCCGACTTAATTTTGTGGAAATTAAGAAAATAAATGGAGAATGTGTCCCCATGGACACAGATGATGCCCCCGCTTGCATTCAACATTATAAAGGGACTTGTGTGTAGGTTTCATAATGTTTGGTTGGGGCAAACTTATGTTATGAAACTTATACACAATGCTTTTTACCACAAAACACAAAACACTCGATATGATATTGGTTGGGGCAAACTTAAGTTACAGAACAGAAACTAAAAATTTTGCAATTTTTCGATTCATAAAGGAGCATAACTCGATATGATTAAAGTGACGCTACCAAAATTCAACTTGATCGGTGTTTTGTGGTAATAAGCATTGTGTATAAGTTTCATAACATTTGGTTGAGGCAAACTTAAGTTTAGAGAACGGAAACAAAAAAAAATGTAATTTTTCCATTTATAAAGGGGCATTACTCTAGAACGGTTACAGTGACCCTACCAAAATTCAAACTTGATCTGTATTTGGTGGTAATAAGCATTGTGTATAAGTTTCATAACATTTGGTTGAGGCAAACTTAAGTTAGAGAACGGAATTAAACATTTTGCAATTTTTCCATTTATAAAGGGACATAACTCTAGAACGGTTAAAGTGACGCCACTAAAATTCAAACTTGATCTGTGTTTTGTGGTAATTAGCATTGTGTATAAGTTTCATAACATTTGATTGAGGCAAACTCAAGTTAGAGAACGGAAACTAATTTTGGGACGTACGGACGTACGTACGTACGTACAGACGGACAAGCGTAAAACTTAATGCCCCCTCTGCTACGGCGGGGGCATAAAAATCATTCCTCATATCATGCAGAATTTTGGTATATTTACTAACTTCATGCATAATTTAAACTTCTGGCTTGCAAACAGTTAGAGAAGGTAGCTTTAAGTTTACAAACCATGCGCTCTATGTTGGAACGGAAGGACAGCGTAAAAAATTTTTAACCAGAAAATTTGACCGGAGGCATATAAAAACACGTATGTTTATTTGAATTCACAAATGATGAGTGTAATCGAGCTTTCTTTCTATAGTCGCCGTCATGTAAAATTGGACCCGAGTAAGGTTTGAATGGCTTAAAGAACGAAAAACAATATACGGTTTCATTTTTTAGAAACAATTAAAGTTAACAACAATCTTTAAAAATACAAGCAACTCTATAAAATTAACAATATGAAAATAAAGATTAAAACTATGCATTTTATTGTTTTATCACTGGAATCGGTATCGCATATACATTTATCACATTGGTATTCAAGGAAGCTGAGTCTGAACTGGTGCTTTTTCACATTTAAAGTTCCAGGCTCCACATGTGTATTGTCCACTTTCATCTGCCATTTTCAAGCAAATAAAACAAAATTTCTGTCCACATGGACACTCCATTTGCTTGCATGCTTCCCTGTGTTCAATCATTAAACCACATTTTGGACAAGCCCTTACTGCAGGACAACTAACCTCGACAACCTTTTTTTCTTGACACTCTCGCAAAATTTTCTTTCTCGGATCCTCTCCTGAACAGTTAAGGTTTCCGCATTCAGCAGTGCCCGACGTTGACCATTTTCTAAGACAGAACCAACAAAATTCAAATCTCCCACCGGGTTTTCTCGAACAGACAGGACAGATTACGCGAACATCCTTCCGATCCATCCGCTCACAGTATGATTGGCATTTAGGACATTCCTGAATTCCAACAGCTTTTCTCAGGAAATTTATCGCTATTTGTGTCTCAAATTCTTTTCTTTCTTCCTTTGTTAGTACTGCTAACTTATTTACCGTGTAGAATTCCCAGATTCGACCACAGTAAGATGGGTCCATATGTGGGCATCTAAACTCGAATTTTCCACTTGAGAGTAAGCTCCTGCAGTAAGCCGTGAGTGATTCTGGGCCTAAAAATAATAATCAAGATCATTAAGGTTAGTATTTTATTGATAACTTTTGTTATAAGAATTAGTTTTAAGCTCAACTCTTTGAACAAAAATTAGAGTATCTGCTGAAAACAATCTTTACAAGTTGTAGATTATTAATAAGTGAAATAAATTTGACTTTCAAATAATTTTGTATACAAGAGAAATGAAGTTTTAAGAAATGGTCCATTTTTTACTTCATGAAAACATAGAAACTGAACGTTAATAAAAAGTAAAATAACAAAAATACCAAACTCCAAGGAAAATTCAAAACGGAAAGTCCCTAATCAAATGGCAAAAGCTCAAACACACCAAACGAATGAAAAACAGCTGTTATATTCCTGGCTTGTTGCAGGCATATAAATCATGGTTGTGGCATAAAGTGATCACAAAAACTCATAATAAAAAAATATAACACATGGGTGTATTTTCAAAGATATTTTTGAATTTTATAATGATAGTACGTCAGTTAACTGTGCGAGGGTCCATAATTTTGTAAGTAAATGGGGAAAATCTGGAAAAGAATATTTTTTTATGTTTTGCCTCCAAACAATAAATGCCCATCCCTCCTTCACAGAACACACGAACGAAGAGGGTACATGTATGTGCCTAAAACTGTTTCTTCGGTACATGCCATTGTATATGTTTCTGTACTTTATATAAATTATATGTTTTATTTTCGATTTTGTTTTTGTATTGCATGATGGAATTCTCTTTGTTCGCTTAGAAATATAAATAATTTAAAAGTTTAATTTTACCTATTGCATGACCACATGGCATCTTTGCCCTTAGTCCATCCTTGTCATCATCAAATGTTATCATATCGGGTTCTGAGGTCAGCTCAACATCAGAACCATACACTTTCAAAGGAGGGGAAAGGTCTTCAGTGGTATCCATGGTATCCGAGTCAACAATTTCTACTGTTCCTGTGTCAGTTCCATTGGTTTGTCCTTGTTGATCAGACCCTCCACGTAAACGGAGAACTAGAACCAGATTCCCTTCATCTTGAATTCTGTAGTCCGTCAGAAATTGCTCCTTACTATTCTCGTCAGTATCTCGGAGTTCCTTGCCTAAAATACAAATTATTTTATTTATATATTTTAAAGAATGAATAGTTATCATTTTGACAGAAGTGGAAAAAAGTAATGTTTCATTGATGAATTGAGTAACAAATAAAAAAAGAATGTGCCTGAGGACACGAATGCCCCCGCTCAAGCTTCAAACGAACGAAAATGGGACGGACGGACGGAAAGATAGAAAGACGGACGGTCAAGGGTAACACTTAATGCCCCCGTCGCCTACGGTGGGGGCATAACAATATATTTCTAAAATTTAGCAACAGGAAACCAATTTTGTTCGATCGAGATATAGTTTAGATTAACAGGTTTGCACCTCGTTATACAAGCCTTTATTATTTTCGCGACTGTCGAATACTCCCAAAAATAAAGAATATTTGAATTCTGTGACTTCACAAATATGCATAATAGTATTAATATCTCTCCATCTTCTTTGGAATAATCTCCATATTAAGGAGTACTAGAGGCTCTCAAGAGCCTGTGTCGCTCACCTTATTCTACTTTGGTTCTTGAAATCATGTAAAAATAGATTAAAATCATAACAGATACCCTAATAATGAGTGAGGCCAAATTTGGTTTAATATTGGTCCTGTAATTAAATAAAAAATCCTGGTGGCCATCTTGAACAGTAAATCGGCAACAAAGTAGCAACACTTCATCAGCACCTCATAAGAACCATTTATGCCATGTTTTGGTTTCATTCCATTCAGTGCACCTCTAGAAGAAGCATTTGTATGTATTTCCCGTAGGGTCTTATGTTAAAGGAAGTCCCCCCATTGGCGGCCATCATGGATGAAGGATCAGCTTCAAAGTAACAAAACTTAGTCAGCACCTCATAAGGAACATTCTTGCCATGTTTGGTTTCAATCCATTCAGTATGTGGTTCTCTAAAAGAAGACATTTGTATGTATTGTCCATAGGGTCCTTTTTTAAACATTGTCCCCATCTGACGGCCATCATGGATAAAGGATCAGCTTCAAAGTAACAACACTTGGTCAGCACCTCAAAAGGAACATGCATGCCATGTTTGGTTTCATTCCATTCAATGGTTCTCTAAAAGAAAACATTTGTATGTATTTCTCATAGGGTCCTATCTTAAACTAAGTCCCCCGCTGGCGGCCATCTTGGATTATGGATCGGCTTCATAGTAAAAACACTTGGTCAGCACCTCATAAGGAACATTCACGCCATGTTTGGTTTCATTGCATTCAGTGGTTTTCTAAAAGAAGACATTTGTATGTATTTCCCTTAGGCTCCTATGTTTAACAAAGTCTCCCGCTGGCGGCCATCATGGATGATGGATCAGCTTCAAAGTAACAACACTTGGTCAGCACTTCCTAAGGAACATTCATGCCATGTTTGGTTTCATTCCATTCAGTGGTTCTCTAAAAGAAGACGTTTGTATGTATTTCCAATAGATCCCATGTTAAACTAAGTCCCCCGCTGGCGGCCATCTTGGATTATGGATCGGCTTCAAAGTAACGACACTCGGTCAACACCTCATAAGGAACATTCAGGCCATGTTTGGTTTCATTCCATTCAGTGGTTCTCTAAAAGAAGACATTTGTATGTATTTCCCATAGGGCCCCATGTTAAACTAAGTCCCCTGCTGGCGGCCATCTTGGATTATGGATCGGCTTCAAAGTAACAACACTCGGTCAGCACCTAATAAGAAACATTCATGCCATGTTTGGTTTCATTCCATTCAGTGGTTCTTTAAAAGAAGACATTTGTATGTATTTCCCATAGGGTCCCATGTTAAACTAAGTCCCCTGCTGGCGGCCATCTTGGATAATGGATCAGCTTCAAAGTAACAACACTCGGTCAGCACCTCATAAGAAACATTCATGCCATGTTTGGTTTCATTCCAATTCGTGGTTCTCTAAAAGAAGACATTTGTATGTATTTCCCATAGGGTCCCATGTTAAACTAAGTCCCCTGCTGGCGGCCATCTTGGATTATGGATCGGCTTCAAAGTAACAACACTTGGTCAGCACCTCATAAGGAACATTCATATCATGTTTGGTTTTATTCCATTTAGTGGTTCTCTAATAGAAGACATTTGTCATACCATGTTTGGTTTCATTCCATTTAGTGGTTCTCTAATAGAAGACATTTGTATGTATTTCCCATAGGGTCCTATGTTAAACTAAGTACCCCTGGCGGCCATCTTGGATAATGGATCAGCTTCAAAGTAACAACACTTGGTCAGCACCTCATAAGGAACATTCATGCCATGTTTGGTTTCATTCCATTCAGTGGTTCTCTAAAAGAAGACATTTGTATGTATTTCCCATAGGGTCCTATGTTAAACTAAGTACCCCGCTAGCGGCCATCTTGGATAATGGATCGGCTTCAAAGTAACAACACTCGGTCAGCACCTCATAAGGAACATTCATACCATGTTTGGTTTCATTCCATTCAGTGGTTCTCTAAAAGAAGACATTTGTATGTATTTCCCATAGGGTCCTATGTTAAACTAAGTACCCCGCTGGCGGCCATCTTGGATAATGGATCAGCTTCAAAGTAACAACACTTGGTCAGCACCTCATAATGAACATTCATGCCATGTTTGGTTTCATTCCATTCAGTGTTTCTCTAGTAGAAGTTCAAAATGTAAAAAGTTAACATCGACGACGGACGACGTCGGACGACGACGGACGCCAAGTGATGAGAAAAGCTGACTTGGCCCTTCGGGCCAGGTGAGCTAATAAAAGGGGTTTTGGATACTTCATGGATTCATCTTCCATCGTTTTATAAAATTTGAAAAATAAAATATCCACATAAAATCTTACAAATACTGTCTTAAAAAGACCGACACTGATACTAAACAAATAGAATCAATACAAACGTTTCGACAACCACGGGGCAAATCGAACCACATAACAATTTGATTTACCAAAATGGCCGAAAGAGAGAAAATAGCAAGTATTTCAAGTCATTACGATCTCACTATAAAATATAAAAGTACACACCATGACGACAGCACTTGCTATCTAGTAGTACATGTAACTGGGGCCGGTAACAAGAAGCATTCTTATGTGTTACGAACGTTTAAAGAGCGTCTTAAGATTTAAGAGTGTAACAAGACCCAACCTCAGACCTATCTTAGAATAATTGACAGCCCTTAATGTTTTGAAAAAGTGCATGATTTAAGAACGATTCTTAAGTCTACCTTAAAGCGATCTTACTAATTCCGGTAACACTAAATCATTCTTAAATTTTGGTCAGTTATTAAGTGTTCTTAAAACAAACTTAGCGGGGTGTACCAAGAACAACTCGCAATAGCTTCTCTTGATATTTTTTGTAAGAGTGGTCCCGACTACTCTTAGCTGCACATTCACTTGTTAATAATATAATAAAATGGCGTTGCTTCTGTATGTATGTCAAAAAGGCTAAACTAACTTTACTGAAACTTTCTGCGAAAAAAATCACGCGCGATTTTGTGAATGAAAGGGGAAAGAAGATCCTCACGCGGTGCACCCGCGCATGTCAATTGCTTACTGACCCAATAATTTTTTATCACGACCAGTCAACTGATACTGACATTATCAGAAAACAGTTGACACATCAAAGGAAAAATGCACAAATTACCGATAAATTGTTATATATGATATTATAGAATTAAATATGTTTTATTACAAAATATGTGTTTTCAATCTTGTAGACAGATATAACAGGATGTCATATCAGTACCAAAGACAACTCTCCATCCAAGTCACAATTTGTAAAAGTAAACCATTATATGTCGAAGTACGGTCTTCAACACGAAGCCTTGGCTCCCACCAAGCAGCAAGCTATAAAGTCCATATCAATCATGACAATAAACATAAACAAATAAAACTAACAACTATCGCTTACTAATAATCCTGCCTATATGTATAACATGAACTGGTTGCCATCAGAAATGGAAATATAAATATTCCAACTAACAAAAGCATATGCTTACACATGCAACCAAATATAAAGCACTAAATGCTAATACCAATATGAAGCTCTCATCTATAGAACTAACAAAAAAATTGTCAAGATTACAAACCACAACGTAATATATCAAAAGATATAAGAAGCCAGCTGACAACATGTTCTAGAAAATTATTTGTAATTAATATTTCATTCCAAATCCATTACCACAAAACATCTTCTTACAGTATTACTACATCTGTAAAATAGTAACAACAACACTTAACCTGTACCGTCAAAACTAATTGCTTCTTCTAAGACAAAAACCAGATAAGATATTCATCACTTCTATACATATAAGATGTAATATTCTTATATTTGAACGGCCTTCTGTAGTAGTCCATTTTGTCAAGCAGTAATCCTCAAAAGTAAATAATACGTTTTTCCTATCAAGTTGATTATATTAACCTCACAAACTATTACATAACTGTCCAGACACAGTATGCATTTTAAAACTACTTGCATTGTCATAAACAGTAAACAATCATATTCCTCAAAACAAAGAAAAAAGTGTTTGTATTGCTACTCTAGCTATTATATATATATACTGTCTGAAATGCTGAGAAACTGGGAGAAGTGCTGCAAATGTTGCCTACAGATGCATCACTCATCAACTTTTCACAGTAAGGCAACCGAAAATAACTATAGGATATTTTGCAATGTTACCTGCAAAAGTATGAATGTTATTTACATTCTAGAATGTTTGTGACCTCCAATATGTTGGTGAGTCAAAGCAGCCTTTCCACAAACGCCTATATTGTGATATCTCTAAGAAGCCACTTCTCCCAGTTTCTCAGCATTTCAGACAGTCGGGTCACAAACATGATGACTTTAACCGCATGAAAATCCTAGTGATTGAACAGAACATTCACTGAAGTGATGCCCAGCGACAGGTTCGGGAAAGCTTTTGAATAAAGGAACTTAATGTACATCATCCAAACGGCATCAATAAGAAATACTAACAGTTTTATTTTTCACTCATTTTGGGATGTAAATATACTCAGATACGTATATCTGAATATTGCGTTTTGTTTTATATTATGATGTTCAAGATTTTGGATTAAATCAATAGACCAAAACTTACCTATATTACTGAGCTATTTTACACATACAATCAGTATTGTTAAAATTATTGGCACTGACGAAGGCTATTTGTTAAGCCAAAATATTTGTCAACACGATTTAATAACAACGTCTTTGTGTAATACCGTCATATATTAGTACCGTTGTGCAAATTTTTAGACTAATATACATATAAGTACAATAGTATGCAATTTTATCTGGATATAAATATATATTATATCATATGTGACTATAATTCCTCCTTCCATCATTACCCTGATCCACCAATACTACAACTAAAAACAAGAACCAGGAGAGAAAAAACACACTATATATTCAAGGTGCTTGCAAGATTCCAATAAAAAACCTATACCCACAAACCACCGATCTCGACATAATCAGCTAAAATACGGCAAGCTTTTTAGAAAAGCTATTACTTGTTAGACTGAACCGTTAGAATTCCTTAGGTTAAATGGGTAGTTGATTATTGTGCGCATTTTATTGTTCATTAAAACGTTTGTATGATTCATTTGAGGCGATTCTAATTTCTTTGCGAGGAGCCTAACACGGAGACGCCGGAAAATTATTTAGAACTCGTAAAATGAAAACTATTACGATGCAACTTAAGGGGGAAATAAGACCGATCTACGAACAACCTGAGGGAGCTTTGATTTACACTCTTTGAATGATCTTAGGATTATCTTATCTTCCCTTTAATTCAATACTTACGATCTCTCTTTATAAAATTTCTTGTTACCGGCCCCTGTTACGTGTGCAAATTGATTAACCGTACTTTAATCATGTTAACCTTTCGATCTTAATAATTGAGGATTTAAAGTCTCGCAAAATAGAACAAATACTCACTACAATAGAGCACTCTCATTTCCTCCAGGCTGATTAAGGTTTTCTCGTGAATCATTCTTCTTAGTTGAGCAATACTTGCATCCTGCAATAAACAACGAAAACAAAATCAAAACGATTAAAACAAGTTAAATACCTGGTTATACCAGAATATTTTCAAAAATATAAAAACAAGATTTGTTGGACCACACGAATGCCCCAGCTGCAGCCTTTCATAATTAAAAAAAAACCGGAACGAAAACATCATCGACATGATTTAGGTCATCCGGATACACTACAATGACTACAAAACGTCAACAGGAACAAACAAATTATTATATATTGAATTCAGTTACAGGAATACCACTTAAGTTGGTCACAAGGGACGAAAAGAAAACTCTATCTGTAACTCTGTACAAAAAATCTGCTCAAGATCGCAATCATAACGAAAAAAATCTGACAACTGTTTGATTTCATCAAATTTATACGGAAGGACAAACAACAAATATTGATTGAAATGGGTAACACAAATGCACGTGCAATCAAACTTGTACATGTAGATATTTGTATCTGTGTTCCATTTCATTTATTGATCATATTTTGTAAAACAAATGTACGTGTGTCAAGAAAGGATGCTGTTAGTTCAAAATTAATTTTTATGAAACTTTGAAGAAATAATCTTGTAGTACATTGTCAAATTCTTCATTTAAGAATTGAATGCTTCTTTTTGTAAATTTATTGGGGTGTAAAAGCGTTGACCGAAGTACATTTTGTATGAAGCGCGGAAGCGCTTCATTCTAACAATGTGCGCACGGTCAACGCTTTTACAACCCTATAAAATTACTAAAAGGAGCATTCAATACTTATAATTACATTTTTTGCTAGGATCATGAAAACACGATTTCTATCAAGTTTTTCTTTTATTTACCTGTGCACTTTATTATGGAAGCTCATGTCATCATGAATGTTACATTTCATTTTGAAATGAAGGTTAATTTCAGAATGACGCGAGATTGCTGTTAGCCAATCAAAATAACGTAATATAATGAAACATACATGTAATGTAATTATTTGTTTGTGTTACACACTTTTACAGCTTCATTGGCTATGTCAGTGCGATTAGTTTTTACTTGGGGTGGTAGCCGGAGTAGCGGCTGAGAAGCGACCGAACCTTGACAGGAAAACTGTCAATATATCAATAATGGTAGAGGCGGACACCTCGCCACTTAAATCCTGTGTATTGACACGACCACTGGGCCATCGAACCCCCCCCCCCCCAGACAACCCCCCCCCCCCCCCCCTTACAACCACCAACCCCCACCTATTATCAATTTAAATAATAATAATACATATTATTACACGCATATATAAATCATTTAAAGACATTAAATATACATGATCATAACAAATTGGTAATCTAGACTTACTTCATCAATGCGAATGATCGTTGTTTTACCTTCCAGCCCTTTCAAAAATAACTGAAGTTCCTTTCCCATTTTCTGTAAGAAAAATGGTAAGAATAAGTCATCTATACACAATAGAATTTACCGGATATACATGTAACACGGTATTTCTGTGAAATAAGGTAAACAAAATTTAGTTAGTTTACAATTATTCATGTTATTGAACGACTAAAACTAATATTGGTATTTAGCAATTAAAATAAAAGAAATAATAATAATATACTTACTTTAATATGCGGTTCAGTTCAAACGTATGACGATATCAACCGCAAACTGTTAGATTAGCTTTTAAACTTGTTTCAGGAAATACCCGTATCAATCATGTCATTCTATTTTTAGAACATGGAAATCTGTATTCTAAAAATGTAATATAGGCTAAGGTTTATCAATGTTTTTCTGAAAACTTCCAAATACAAACTTAATTGCGTTTAATTTTGGTGGAGCAAATCTAAAGTTGTATTCTGTTTTAATAAGGCATATTTTAGAAATGAACTTAAACATGTTAAAGAGCGCTTTCGGTGCGCTTTAAGGTTTGTATAATTCGCTAATTTTCTATTTAACGTAAGAATGTACAAATTAAGCATTTTTAAAACTAAAGTCAAAGAACATCAAACACCGCACGTTATACTGTGTTATCATAATTTGCCAATAGAAAAAAACCCACAAGGACAACAAAAAGTCCACTTAACACTATACATACAAAACATAAGATCAAGCAACACAATTTCTACCAAAAAACGGGGGTTGCAATCCATTCATCCTGGAAGGACGAAGTGCCTGCTCTGATAAGGTCAACAACCCCATGATACATTTCAATATGGTAAAGTCATAGAAGAGAAAAGGAAGATGGAATTTTAATAACATCGTAAGGGATTCGTGGCTATCTTTGTCACAGTTATTCAAGAATGGCCAATCAATCAAATATTAATGAAATCTGTGAATCGTTTGAAGAATACAGATATCTGGATATGTTAAAGGTATTTGAAAATGAAAGCAAACAAAATCGTTCTGTCTATTTTTTCTTAGATTATTAGATTGAAATTATCATATTTTCAATTATTACATGTAAAAAAACAAACCCCAAAATTTATATATTTGTGAGCGGGAAATAATTGTGCACATTTGCTTGTATCACAAAATATCTATACAGTCCGCCAAAAGTAAAGCACCACCTATTTTTATTGCATCGAAATTTTTTTCATTTAAAAAAATCAGTTATTTCTCGAAAAAGAGAAAACATTCATGTAGCAATTTTGCTAACATATACGATAAACAAACCATAAACTTAAATTAGGTCTTTTATGCAGGTTATATGCATTTAAATTTAGCGTTCATAGAAATAGTTCAAATTACACAAAGAAACGGAATTTAAGTTTCACTGTGATTTTATTTTTTTACAACAATTAATCACAATATATCAATAAAATTCTCTACAAATAATCTTTGGTATGTTCGGCAAATTTAATGTCAATATTTGCGTCAATAGGATGTGTATCCACCTCTCTTCCGGTACAGTTCCATAACACGGCGTCTCATACTCTGTACAAGCCTTCTGAACTTTAGTTGAGGAAATCTATTCCATTCATCAACAATTGCCACTCTTAAATCGCCAAGATTTTGCAGTGGTGGATCTCTGCGATTGAGATTTCTGCCAATGGCATCCCACATATGTTCGATAGGGTTCATGTCTGGAGACATGGAAGGCCAAAAGATAGTGTCAATGGCTTCTTGCTCTTTGTACTGGGTTACAATCCTTGCCCTGTGTGGTCTATCGTTGTCGTCCATGTTCAAGGGTCTTGACGCAAGTGGGTGATTGTCAAAATGAGGGACTACAGTGTTTCTAAGCACCAAATCCCTGTATGTCTGTCCGTTCATGTTACCCTGCAGAATATGCTTACCCAGCTTACAACGGTATGAGAAGCAACCCCATACTATAACACCACCAGCACCGAATGCAGTCGTTGGGCAAATGTTGTTTTGTTCATAGGCAGTTTTATTTTCCCGCCAAAGTCGTATTCTGCTGTCTACTGGTCGTAACAGAAACCAACTCTCATCTGACCAATGGATTTTTTGCAAGCTTCTCATGTTCCAGTGTTGATGGTCATTAGCCCATTGAAACATGATTATACAGTGCCTGGCTGTTAGGGCAGGTCTCTTGACAACACGACGTGCTCTAAGGTTGCCTCTATGAAGTCGACGGATCAATGTGCGAAAACTAACACGACCACCTGGAGGCCAGTGTTGTCTGAGCTGTAAGGCAGGAGTAAATAGACTGGCTTTAGCACGACGAATATTAAGCAGTCTGTAATCACGACGGGTAGTTAAACGGGGTTTTCCGGACCTTGGTCTATTATTTACAGTTCCTTTGTCAACATGACGTTGTAAAAGTCTGACAATGACGGTGTGATTAACATTGAAATGGTTACCTATGCTCCTAGTACTCCTTTCGGCATTTGCCATACAATTTGACATGCCAATTGCTTGCCAACGTTTAGCTTCTGTGACAGATAACTTACGCCTTGCCATATTACACAATGACTTGATGAAGATCAAATTTCACCTGTACGCGTGACAGTAGGAAGATGATTTAAAGGTATCGAAACAGCGTATTTGTAAAAGTGCAGATGACCTTTAATAAAAAGTTGCTTGACGGGTTTATCGGAGTTCAACTTTTTGGTCGTAATGAATTTTCTTAGTGTATGTTAAAGGCATTTCATAACACCAAACAGTAATAATTTTTTTCGAAATAGTTCAAAAAAAATATTGCCAGTTATATTAGGCGGTGCTTAATTTTTGGCTGACTGTATATATAAACGGTTCTGTATTCAAATGTAAAATGCATGATACAAAATTAATGACTTATCTAAATATAACGGAAGTACATGTACATAGATATATGTAGTTGTCCTGAGTTCCACCCGTAATACTTTCTCTACTCCCAGACATAGGCAGATTTGGCATACATTTTTGGATTATTTTGTTTTCAGTTCAGTTTAAATTCGTCATAAATTTAATTTCCCATTGTTTTGTAGATTACTCCGGTACAGTCATCTTTAATAACTTTTTTAAAACCTAAATAGTATATCGTTGCTGATAATAACTTATTTTTAATTATTTTGTTTTCCATGGAATAGTTTTCTCCTTTTCAGAACATTGAAGTTCTTCTTATAAATCTACATAAAATTTATATAGAAATTGCTTTGAATTAACAAACATCATCAAATTGGATTAGAAGTTAAAAATCTTTTAGAAAATTAACATAAAAATTATGGAAACTATATATGTACATGTACATGTAGTCCATTTGCGTTTTAAAATCTTTATATTTTTACACTAAAAATCATGTTTTTCTAATTACATTAACAAAGGGTTTGTCTTGCTATACAAGTCCTTGATCACGCGAAATTAAAAAATTAAAAAAAAATCTGATGTTGTTTTTTTTTTAATTTCTCAAAATCTTTAATTAGGGGCCAATTCTAATCATTATAATGAAACATCAAAACGATTTTATAACTACGTTTGGCAAGATGCGAAAGTATATCATGTATATTAAGTGTCTGGAATCTTTGAAAACGTCTTTCAAATTTCATTTTCTATGATTTTTGGTACGTTGTATGAACGGATATGATGATCTCCATATACCAGGTCAGAACCAGGACTTTCAGATAAAGGGTAGCACTGTCTAATCTGTAAATCAGATATTGCTGTCAACTTTGTTTGAACTATTATAATCAAGAAGTATATAGTATAAGAACTTCCGTGTGCTTTTTCACAAAGATGGATTGCAGTTTTGGGAGACTGGCTTTTTTTAGTTTGTTCTCAAACCATTTTAGCACATTGAATATTTTCTAGTAATATATGCCATATAATCAATTATGTGGAAACGAAGGGAGAGAAATTACATGCAGATGTATAATTGTATCCTGTGTATGACATCACATAGTCTAGTAAAATTTCAGACAAAAATAAAAGAAAGATTGTATCATGCATTTAACCATTTAAATGTTATACAAAGGTTGACATGCATATAACATGCACAAATATAGATATGTATATATATATAACTAAATTTTAGAAATCCGATTTCTGCAGCCATAATTGGTTTTTCCTCGGCATATCGATTGATCTATTTTAAAAACATGAAAATTCCTCTTCGATCATTTATTTACAAATCAAAAATAGATTTAAACCTACTAAGTACACTAAAACAACACCTTTTCAAAAGGTAAAACAGTTCACAGTAGATAGGACGGTCAAAAGTAACATTTAAATGTTCGTTCGTTTAATATTTAAAAAAGAATAATTCTTTTAAACATTTGTTTTCTTAAATTGTGTTAATAAGTTTCTTTTGAAACGGTATATTTAATTACACAGATCATGCAGAATGCAAACTTGTTATTCTGTTCTTACTTATAATTCCTGTAAGTATTATACGCTTGTTTGCTTTTTTTTTGTATTTGCATTAAACTATATTAGTGAAACTGCATTTGAGGCAGAAAACAAAATTAACAGTAAATATTAATATCTAAAAATTCTAACACAACATAATTCAAAGATTAAATAAATGTAGTTTAATTTCAGCTATCATAATGTTGACTATGGTTGTTCTGATCATGTGTACGGATCTCTGTATACGGAAGATTCCAAAATAAATGGGTGAGGGGCAAGGATCAGGAAAATCTTGTTTTCAAAAATTGCATTTGCTGATTATTTATAACAATTTACATACTGTAACAGTTTTGTATATATTTAGTGTCATCGTGATACCAGAATATCAATATAGGGAATATTAATTTGTTAACCTTTCAACATAATTCAGGTGAAAATGCAAAGATAACTAAATGACTTACTAAAATGAGCTAATTTCACACCTGATTCTTTAAGCATTTGAACTTTCTGATTAATAGAATGTTTACCTTGCTCCCGATTCCTATAATATATGAATAACGAATTAACTGTAAGCAAGTTTGTCCAAATATATTTAGTGACAAGATCAGGACTTACTAGGACCATAGAAATTGAAAACAATGGCGTAGTTCTTTCAATTTTCAATATTTTATTCCTGCGGAGAATACTTAGGTTTTCCGAAAATCAGATATTCTATAACAGCAATGGAAATACAAATCAGTTATTTTTAGATTGATTAAAAAAGAAACTGAAAGTTAAATTAATTACTTCTTCACGTTTTTAGATGAGCTGTGCTGGTCATAGTCATTCAACCGGAAAAACAGTTCTGTGTTTTTATGACAATACAGTATTATTTAAAAAAAAACAAGATATTTGTTTTCCGACTTAGTCAGAATTTTGCAGTGGCCTTGTAAATCCATGTTGTTCATGAGATAATTTGAGATTTTTTTTTAGTTATTGTTATGTGCAAAGTATAAGCTCAAATTTGTGTTTCGCCATTTTTGTTGGAAAGTATATTGCTTATTGGGACACAGGAAATCAGAACACTGTAAAAGCGAAGCCTCAACACACATAAGCACTATACAGATGCGATCAAAAGGAATTATTCGCCATCAGATCATGAAAAGATGTAGGAATAAAGAAAAAATATATACTAACGCTACTTACGAGAAAGCACTGCGGAAAGATCGAATACCCAAGAGTAAAAATCAGAAACGAGCACTTTTCATCATGTTCATGAAAATGGGAACCCATAAGATCGGTAGATTAAGAGTCGTTTTTTCGAACCTTTGAAGAGTACAGATGAACCAGTTGCGATATAATCCTTTAATAGGAATAATAACTGATTGTCCTTATCACCGAATGGCTTATTTTCTATATGCTTCAAGAATTATGAGCTCATAACTATTTCAATTTGATGTAGAACGAAGACAAAAATAGAAGCAATGAATACAAAAACATATACCTGCTAATAATGCGGTCAAATATTTTGCAAAAAGACCAATTCATATTGTCACAGGAGGACGGTTCACTCAGCAGAACAAATTGTATGTAGGTCGAATATTGTAAAGTTTAACTATTAATACCAGATCATACAATAGGTAGGTTGTGCACTGTATGGGTCGACTTAATTTGCATCCCGGAAGTAATTCAAAACGACGCTGCTACGTCACTGGTGACAATCCGTCATATTGAAAGAAGGAAATAGTGCAAATTTATTTTTGATTATTTACTAACAAAACGCATCACAGTGATACACAATGGTAATGTGTGCTACCGCTGGATGCAACAATAGAAGTAAGATGAATAGTGACATGAGTTTTTCCGTTTTTTTAACGACCCGCAGGCTTAGAAGGCGTGGAGATGGGACTTTGTATCAACCTCAAACCACAAACTCTGTTCTGCCCACTTTTCCAAGGCATGTTACAATCATGACCCAGAGTTGTGGGATCTCGGCTGTCATACCTTGAGACCATAAAAGGTCACAACAGTGCGGTACAGGTTTTTTGCAATTTCTGGTCTCGTTTGAAATTGTAAGCTGCAGGTGTCATGCAACACAGGGTGATTGATAAGACATAGTTATTACGCAATATAATTACTTCATATGCTTTGACTTTATGTACCTCCCTAATGTAGGTTTTGCTGAGAGCACAGGTGAGGTAGGGATATATTATTGTTACAGCAAGACAGTTATGAATGCATGCTGTTTAATGCATCCGTGTAGTATGGCCAAAGAATACCTTATACACTTTTAAAACCCCTACCAGTTCTAGTAACTAATTCACAACCTGAATATACATGTAGGTCTCATACTTTATTTGCTTATAAAAACTATATATGAAAAATAGTTAATGATAGGAGAATGTGCATGTCATTGATATAATCCTTATATAGAACATCGAATATATTAATGACAACAAGCAAACACCTACTTTTAGTTGGATTTGGTAGATATATTAAAATACATAGAAAAAATTGGATGTGTCTAGTTGGTAAAGAATAAGATGATGAAATCCATTTCTTTTTATAATGGAAACTTAATAATAAATGAAGAAAATGTCTTCTGAACCAATTATTTGGCATAACCGTACAGCCTTCAACAATGAGAAAAACCCCATACCGTATAGTCGGCTATTAAATGCCCCAATATGAAACTATTCAAACGAGAAAACTAACCGTCTACTTTATAACAAAACATTCGCCGAAGAACCAATATGACTGAAATGAGGCAGAACCAATAACAACCTCCGAATTACAGGCTCCTGACTTGGAACAGGCACATACAGAGTGTGCCGGGGTTAAACATGTTTCTGAGCTCTCAACCCTTCTTCTTACCTGGAACAGTGGTGTAACAGCACAACACAAGAAAAAACTGTACCAATCAGTTGCAATGCAGTTGGCTTAACTCATCAAAAGACATAAAAACAACTAACATAAAAACAATAGACATAAAACACCGAATCAAGGGTACTCTCAGTTTCTGGAAGCTTGTTTAAAGCCAATTACAACTAATAAATAAATCATGTTCTCCCGAACTGTAGTATGTTACATGCGAAGATTTTCATGCTCAGTCTCGATTTAAAATTCAACTTTTTTTTTAATGACCCATATAATAAGATTTTTTGGCATACATCAAAATAGAATAAATCCTGTGTTTCTTGACTCAAGCATTTTCCTTGTAGCAATTTACAAATAAAATGCCAAAACATATTTTGAAGTGAGGTGTGGGAATATATGCATTTAATTTTACTATGCCTATAATTTGGAGTCACAACAGCCTCCAATAAATTTTGACATAACAGGAGAAAAGGTAATAAAATTATTATTTGAAAACTCAATGAAGCAAAAAAAAAACTAAAAAGGTTCTGTCTATTCAACTGCAAGACAAAAAGCCTCCAAATGCAGAAAGTTTGATATGTCTTAATGTGATGTAAGGTTTCCAACAAATAAAATATATTGGGCATACATTTTAATGATAATAATACCTATACAAAAATTCGTCCATAACCAAACAAAAAGTAATATTAAATACGTATATTTGGGAAATCATAATTTGACTTTTAACATCGTTTTTTTCTTTTTTGCTTCTGGTGCACACCTATAACGTTACTGTAACAGAGAGAACAACCGGATTATTTGATCATCAATTCTTCTTAATTTATACTTTCGATAATTACTTATAGTAGTTTAATTTTTTTTAAAAACCTGCAGAAAGAGCTTTATAAAATTCATTCATCAGACCTATATATATGGGAAAAAAGCCGATCGGTATTGACTGCCAAATGGTCGAAACTTGACTCTTAGCATGCAAAATAAATGTCTTTTCCACACCCAATGGCTTAAATTGATGAGGTCAATTGTATTAAGTTTGCAAGTTATCTGGAAAACTGCTGTCAATACCGTCCATTGTGTAATTGTACAGAAAAGAGATCGACATCGTCCAGTTAGAGACATTTTCTCAGCTTGTAACCAATGACGTTAGCACGATCACGTGACCGTTATCTATTAAAAAAATCATTGAATATGACAAGCGCTGTATCATGTACAAAACCATGGACGAAAACAACTATTTTAAGACGGGTTAAGACGAAAGATGTAATCTTACTAACAAGTTGTATAAAGTTTTAATTCTGATAATTATTTAACTCTGTCTATTCCGCTTACATATATTATTTACGCTATATGACGCATAATTTCCGGAAGAGCTTGAAATATTTAATTACAAAATTATAATGAACTGAAGTGAAATTCAAGAACATCTTGTGTGAAGAGCTTTTAAAGTTCTTAAAACGGAAATCGTCACTTTCTGAAGAAGGCGTTTGATCACAAGTATATTAAAGTAAATACACATAAAGGGACATTTGACATAGCATCGTATATGATCAGTGATCTACGAGATTTCCACATCATAAAAGCTGTAAATTGTTCTGGTAAGTGTGATATTGAAATTACAATTTAGATATTTAGGTAAAAAAATATTTAACTTTTGTTAGAATTATAAAGCAAACATGATTTAAGGATGTTCGCTCCTCTTGTTTTTGAATTTTTGCCAGATATTCGGAATCCTTTGGTTTTATCCATGCAGTGCCATTAAAAATTTTGCCCACTAATCCATACTTTTCTTTCCATAATTTGATTATATATAGTTTAAAATGTAATCTTTGATAAGCTTATAAAATCCTTGTTATTTTTTCATCTTTTTTGAAAGAAAAAAGGTGACAATGTTAAATGTATGAAAAATCTAGAGAGAAGTATTTCCCGCCAAATTTTCAATGGCTTATATCTCAAAAACAAGCACACGAACCGTTCATTTTTTTCTGCTTTTTTAGTTTCTTTATTTATAAACTTTCAATTTATAACAGTCTTTTAAAAAGCTGGTTATTTTGAAACAGAGTAGCGAACACCTAAATGCAATTTTGATCTGAACGTCACTGATGAGTCTTTTTCTGGCGTACAACATTATTAGCCTGGTATCATTGATGAGTTTATTTTTACATTTCCCATTCAGTCATTTAATTCCTTTTGGTAAAAGTGTTAGATTATTATATTTGAGTGCATGTCAGGCTCAGATCCAGCCATTTCTAAAAGGGGGTTCCAACACATGCAAGTCATATTAAAAAGGGGGTTCCAACCATATATCCCCATACAAAAGCATTAGCTGTCAAACAAAAAAGGGGTTCCAACTCCCTGACCCTCACCCTAAATTTCATGTTTTCGTTTGTGTTTTTATATTTATAAACTATTTTGTGTATTTAAACCGCATCGGTAGTGTCGTGGAAGCGTGCCCAACTCTATTGATGGATTCCGATCCCCGATCGAGTACACTATACATGTATGACGCATATCAGGAAGCTAATTTTGCTTATTCACCAAGCACGAAATATTTAGAAGTATTACATGTTTTGGAAATTAAAAACTGGTCGAATCGGAGTAAAAAGAATATGTCCGACAATAGGGCGACGTGTGTTCTTGCGTACTGTTTTTTTTAACCTTATGAAATAGCTCGAAAAAATATGACAATCTATTGGTCTTGTGTAGAGCAGAAAATGTAAGACCGAAAGAAGAATCTTGTGTGAAAAGTCTAAAGCCTACTTAAACGGAAATCTATTTAGCGTTGTCCTATTTATACCACATTAACATCTTCCTTTCCAAAATATGCAAGCAGAATGCATGTACAATACTAACTAAAAAAGATGATTAAACACAATCCTATACATGCATTGCCTAAAGACTGGTTCCCTGTTCTTTATCTGTTGGGTTATGCTATGACTCAGATACCCGGCGTATATTGCAGAGAACCAGCCTGGCCTTGAATTTTTACTACTGTAACCTATACCAAATACTATTTTAGAATATTTTTAAGATTTTCTCAAAAAGTCAATCGATTGTTTATAACGTCCAGCTTAAAATATTTCAGACATATTCAGGACGAAAACTAATTACAAGTAATTATAGTTCCAATATATAGGTTCCGGGATGAAGGGCGGTACAAATAGACTGCCACTGGAAAAAGGGCATGTAGGATAGGGTCAAAACATTTACTTGCAGCAGAAATCTGACGAACCCGCATAAGACTTTTATTTTGATGGGGTTTTTTTTCTAGAAAAGGATATTTCCACAAAAACTATAATATTAAATGATATTTCTGGCAAGTTCTAAATCGTGAAATACAGCTTATGCAAGAATATGTAGTTATCGAAAATACAGTTAAATTATTTTATATACAAATTCAAAATTATGTTCATTCAGGGAACCACTATCATGAAGATGCCAATACTATCCAGTATCATCTGGCTGGTTATAACTGTGGATCTTGCACTTTCAGTACCAACTGCCTACAGACAAAAAGTAAGATACGTGTATTTATAGGTCCTTTTTATGCATTCACGTAGTTGTTTTATCTTTAGAAAATATTATTTTATTAACTACATTACCAGATGATTTTCGGAAATAAATGGGGAATGTTTCTAATATAAATATATGTCAATAAGAAGACAGTCATGCATTTTGTTCCCACTATATTCTCACAAGAAACAGGTTTAAGAGATTTTCTTTTCGTGGTGTGTATGAGTGTTTTACAAATATCTATTGGTGGGATTGCACAAGGTAACGTTTTTCACTTGAATGTTGTTGGCGTCTTTACACTAAATCCAGTGTATATTGGAAGTATACTGATTGATATTTTAGTCTTAGATTGATGATTTTTTTAATAGTTGTTATTGACTTTAAACAAGCTTTCAGTAACTGAGAGTTAAGCCCTTTTCAACTGTTTTTTTTTAAATAGTTTGTTCTTATATTGTGCTGTTATTCCACTGTTCCAGGTTCGGAAACTGTCGGAATTCTTCTATTTTTCGATTCATTTAGAGACATCTAGTGCCTAAATAAATAAAGCTACGCAAATTCTGCGAGGATACAAAATGAAAACTTCATCGATGTTGAAGACGATAGTTTAACTGGTTTCACCAACAGTTGTCTATAATTCAATTTCCAATCAAATTCAGGGGTGTAACTGGCTTGAAACGATTGTTTTAGGTGTTTTTTCAACTTGTTCTTCATCTTTAAACTACAATATCGAATAGATACCAAAAAGGAATATCCGTCCTATTTTCAAAGCAAAATTATATTTTAAATAAAGCCGGAACCCCAAAAAGAACTGTTTAGATCGTCTAAGGCCACTCAACTTTGTCTGAGGGAGTTCCAATGTATGTTTTAGTATATAACCAATTATATATAGCAAGTTAAAGAGGGAGTTCCAATTTATGTTTTAGTATATAACCAATCATATATAGCAAGTTAAAGATATGATATCAAGTAAATCATACCAGTACCGGAGCACTCACTACTGAGCGGATGGTTCCCTTTGGGTACTGATATAGGTCACCTACAGTTGTACCCCTCTCATGGTAGTAAAAACCACAAACCAACAACACGGATTTTCTTAAACACTACTACGCTTTATCAAGCTTGCAAAAGCTGGAATGGTTGAAAAGTCAAAATATAATATATAACTTGTGTTTTATTAAACAATAATTATTTAAATCATGAACATTTATTTTATTACAAACAATGTGCATTAAAAAAAACTTTTGAGCAAGCAAACTTCAAGTTAATCAGGGATTGATATAAAGTGCTCCAGTGTGGCAAGCATACTTTTTCTGCCGTTGTCATACGTATTAAAACTAGAGCCTTTCGAAAATGTAAACAAATACGTGGCAACTCCAGTTGTCCATGTTTCTTCAATCAACACCCCATTAAAGAAAGGATATGAGGTATGCATCCATGACACAAAATCAAAACATGCACATACAAAAACACAAAACGCAATGGAACGGCGCTTTTAATGCTGTCTTTCATCTCAAAGTCACAGTGAAGTAATACTAATACTTCTATTTATGTTATTTTAGAGATGGGATTGGTTTTCGAGGGCAAGTGAATTGTATAATAATGTCAGAGACCACATAAGGTAAGATATTAACAATTTTTTTTGCTCAACATCCAATGGCATATAATTTGAATACCAATTGAAATTTTGTACAATGCTGGAGGTGATTACATGTACCCAGTCTACAAGGTAATATACGAAAATATCGTAAATAAATTATTGGGTTTTCACCCTTGCGATCCTCAGTTGAATTACAACCTCTTTATCTTTCAAAACGATAATAGAACAACAATGAATATTAAAAAAACACACTATCTGTTTTATCCATAAAATAGAGAAAAAGATATAAATTCAACAAAGGTTTAATAAAAACTTACTTTTTTAATCTTATAGCGCGAGACTTTGTGACGCGATGTCGACTTTTTATCGTGATTTATCTAAATTTTGTGCATTTGCTGGTACATGTAAGTAACTATGTGCTTGTTCATTATCGGTGGAATGCTTTCACTCGGACAAACAGACGAACAACGGTATACCTTACTACTTTTAATGTCGTCTGCCTGTTTACTGACTGAATGCATTTACTTGCACAAAATTCTCCTTCAGCACAAGTATTTGAACCTTTGTTTATAAATTGATTTGAAAAGGGAGATCTGAGTTTACGAAAATGAGACAGCAACACAACGATCCAAACAAAAAATCAAAAAACATCTAGGGGCAATAACTCTTTTATGGATTTTGGCCATGTTGACATTAACTAATTACTAGAGACTTTATTTAATATTTTGTTTTAGTGATTCCGTTGACACCGTTGGAGATTTGGCTGATACTATAGGTGTCCATGCACGGGAACACCTTAATCTGGCTGCAGACCATTTAGAAGACATAGGCGTCCCACGTGAAAGAATTGATGAAGCAGGCGAAAGACTGAATAATATAACAAGTCAGGTGGTTCAAAGAGGACAGGAAATAATTGAGAATGGCAAAAATGAACTTTCCAGAGTAGCAGAACACCCAATGAACAAAGCAAGGGAAACCATCGAAAACAATAGAGATGTTCTTGAGACCAGTCATAAGCATATTTCGAGAGTAGCCGATTCTATGGCAGACATGTTCGGCCATTTTCGGGATTTGGTCAATAACCGACGGAATCGACAAGAACCATCAAGCAATTATAGATTGACACAAATCACTGACGATGACGAAAATGTGATACACTAAGCATTTTAACTATGAAATCCGTATATTAGTTGTATTCAACAAATTTATAAATTATATTAGTTTTCTCTACCCTATCAATGAAATCATTCAATTATATTGTATTTTAGAAATTCAGAAATACAGCCTTCCACAATAATTGCCACTCTTGTAAATGTGTTTTTGTTATCCCTCACACGTCATGTTTTCAAAACACCGAACAACATACAATTTACTTTTTTTAAAAACAATACTAGTATATAAGCTATAAGACAAGCATCTTCAGTTAAAAACATACCACGTCTCCTTGTTTGATATTAGTCTAATCTTATTGACAGTGTGGATTTTTTATATGCATATTAAAATGTAACATAATGAAATAACTGTAACCGATAAAATATCCATATTATATAGAAAGTAAAACTAAAAAACAGCTAAAACTCATCACATCTTCAGCAATAAAAATATTCTCACACCAAACAAACTTTAGAATAGTACTGGACTAAAAAACGATCGATGTTTTTAACAAAGAATATGACAGATATCTAGTGAAAGGACATAACAAAGTAAGCATTAAACAATATATAAAACATCCTTCTTGTTGCTGTTCTTCAACTTTTTCAGTCATTATAAGGTCTAAAGCAATGAAGAATGAACTAAAGAACTAAAATCTGTAACTAGAGCTGTTTTGATGTAAACTGATTGTAGTCTGGTATCATGAATTTTTTTAAGAAGCTTTCACATGATATTATTACCCAATACTTCCAGTAACTCAAATTGGCCGGGTTAAACTAGTTCGAAGGCGCCAACCCTCCCCTAACCTGGATCAGCGTCGTAACAGCACAATACAATAACAACTATGCAAAACAATAAACGAATAACAAATATGAGAAACAGCTAAAAACGACAACCACTCAATTACAGGCTCCTGATTTGGGACAGGCACATATACAATGCAGCGGGGTTAAACTAGTTTGCTGCCGCAAAACCCTTCTCCTTACCATGGACAATGGTGTAGCAGTACAACATAAGAACAAACCATAAAAATCAGCTGAAAAGGGCTTAACTCTTCAGCATATATACAGTCCGCCAAAAGTTAAGCACCACCTAAATATAACTGGCAATATTTTTTTAACTATTTTGAAAAAATATTTATGTTTGGTGTTATGAATTGCCTTCAACTTACACTAAGAAAAATCATTACGACCAAAAAGATTGAACTTCGATAAACCCGACAAGCAATTTTTTATTAAAAGTAATCTGCACTTTTACAAATGCACTGTTTCGGTGCCTTTGAATCATCTTCCTACTGTCCCGCGTACAGGTGAAATTTGACCTTCACCAAGTCCTTGTGAAATATGGCAAGGCGTAAGTTATCTGTGACTGAACGTTGGCAAGCAATTAGCATGTCAAATGCCGGTAGGAGCACTAGGAGCATAGGTAACCATTTCAATGTTAATCACCTCGTCATTGTCAGACCTTTACAACGTCATGATGACACAGGAACTGTAAATGATAGACCAAGTTCCGGAAGACCCCGTTTAACTAACTGTCAACCCATTTACTCTTGCTCCACAGCTTAGACATTACTGGCCTCCAGTATACATTACAAAACTATACCTGTTGTTCAGTGGTTATCGTATTGGTAAACAATATGTTACAAGCTCTGCCATTGGTCAGTCGGAAGTATAAAAGCAAAAGCAACAACAGAACTGACGGATTGTTGGGTTGACAAAGTTGGAAAGTGACAAATTTGAATAGAAGCTTAACTGTGTCTGATAATTACAACCAATGCAATTGTTGAAAGTTAACTTTGTTTGTATTTAAGGTTGTCGGTGCCGGTGACAAATCGGGTTGCCGGTGACGGCGCTACATACGGTGGCCGGTGACGGTGCTAAATACATCTACGGTGACGGTGCTAATATAGTTATTGACGGTGCAAATTAAGTGTATGTGTGTCGGTGACAGTGCTAAGGTTGTTAGCAACAGTGCTTAGGTTGTTATATTGACGGTTCTAAAGTAATGAGTATGTTGTTGGTTTTATTATGTGGAATAGTGGTAATATCCTTAAGGTAAATTGGGATTATTGAAAGATTCTAAATAAGTGACAACGATGGTACTTAACTTTTGAATTATATACTAGTAGCTTGTTATTATCAAAAGTTTGTTTGTCTACTCTAAGACCAACCATTACCGGGGACCCGACCAGACTAGTGACAGAGCCTGCAAGACCTATTCTCTCCGCCGATGTTTATTTTAGTGCTAATAAAATATGAAACTTTATTTATTTAGATATTTTATTTCATAATAAGTATTACTATTTCCCTTTCTGTAACGTGTTTTGGTCCGACGGTAAACATTGGACGTCGAACCTAACACTTTATAGACCCTTTAACTCTCTTTTTCTGTGTGACCCTGTGATCTCTGGTGGCCGACTCTAGCACCAGGGAGGCAGCGTTTAAGTATATATCAAACAATGGTTCTGAAGTACAACTTCAAATGAAGTTTAATATCCCGCGATATTTATGATTTTTTTTTTTTATGTTAGACAATTTATCAGTGTTGTTCCAGTCAAAATGATGATCTCAAGTTCTCATCACTTGTCGTCCGTCGCCCGTCGTCGTGGTTGTCGTCCATTTACTTTAACAAAATCTTCTCTTCGGAAACTACTAGGGCAAATATAATCAAACTTGGCCAAAGTCATCATTGGAGTAACTAGTTTTAACAAAAATGCACTTAATGACCTCCCTGCTAACCGACATGGCCGAAATTGCCAATTAAGGAACATAGGGGTAAAGTGCAAGTTTTGTCTATTATCTTGAAAATCGCTATTAATAGAGAAAATCCGACAGGTCGAACATGTTTAAAATATTGCGCTCTAGCAATTGTTGATTACATCAAAACTGTCAAACTACTCTTCATAGCAGTTATTGCCCTTATATTATGAATTTTACCATTTTATATTTCTCTATTACATGTATCCTGAACACTAAAAAAGATGGAAAGAAACTATAGAGCAAAAATGACCAGCAAGAACAGATCTACATATAATGTAGAGTGTTGAAATCGTTCAGCGGTTCCTTATTGGAGTTATTGATTGTTCTTCAATAATGATAGTTTACTGTTTTTTTGCATTTTTGCCTAATATCTTAAAAACAATAATAGATAGATAGAAACACAAATAAGCAAAATAATCAGCAAGACAAGATCTTTAAATAAGTGCAAATTACAAAAATCGTCAGTTCTTGCTCTTTAATGAGGATTTTACCAATTAGTTTTTACCTTTTGTCTATTATCTGGAATTCTATAAAATATTAATAGGCAAAACGATCAGCAAGACAGATCTACACATAAGTCAAGTTTTACCAAAACCGTTAGTAGACTTTTACAACAGTGATTGCCATTAAGGATGTTCGCTACTCTGTTTCAAAATAACAAGCTTTTTAAAAGACTGTTCTAAAATGATAGTATATAGATAAAAGAACTAAATAAGCAGAAAAAAATGAAGGGTCCGTGTGCTTGTTTTCGAGATATAAGCCATTGAAAATTTGGCGGGAAATGATTCTCTCTAGACTTTTAATACTTTTAACATTGGCCGCTTTTTTGTTTCAAAAACTATGAAAAAATAACAAGGATTTTATAAGATTTTCAAATATGGCTTATTAAACTATATGTAATAAAATTATGAAAAGAAAGTAGGGATATGGCGGGCAAATTTTTTTTAATGGCAATACATGGATAAAACTAGAGGATTCCGAAAATTTGGCAAAAGTTCAAAAACAAGAGGAGCAAACATCCTTAAAAAGAGATTATTTACACCCTTTTTTGTGTTACAATGTATAGGCAAATCTGAATCAGACCTGTGTTCAGTGGTTGTCGTTTGTTCATGTAGTTCATAAGTGTTTCTCGTTTCTCGTTTTTTTTATATAGATTATACCATTGGTTTTCCTGTTTGAATTGTATTACACTAGTCATTTTGGAACCCTTTATAGCTTGCTGTTCGGTGTGAGCCAAGGCTCTGTGTTCAAGTCCGTACTTTGACCTATAATGGTTTACTTCTTACAAATTGTGACTTGGATGGAAAGTTGTCTTATTGGCAGTCATACATCTTCTTATATCTATAGAAAAACTGTAAACAGAAAAAAATGATCATCATGCAATACCAGATCTATAAAAAAGAGATTTTTTGTCTTGAATTCTATTCTAGCCTACACTGTTGGAGAGTGGCCATTGTTAAAGATACACATAGACCTAGCTTAAGCTTGGTGTGTATTTTACTATATTATGTTAGAAAAATAGGGAAGCATAATTATGTATGGACTTTATGTGACGCAGTCATACAAATTTCTACGTTCAACACCTTTTTCATGAGAGAAATTTTGAAAAAAAGTAAAATAAAAATCCTGATAATTTGCACATTTTTAAGTATATATGTACAAGTACTCTGTATAATAAACATGCTATCGATAATAATCTGTAAGAAGAAGCTGACCGGACAAACCGCGTACCTAGCTTGCATGATTTCGCATTAAATGATACATTGTAAAATGTTCAAAGGCATGTTGTACATTGCTTTTGTGAAATAATCAGATTCTGCATAAGATTTGTTTTTGACTTGAAAACTGTGTATGAAAGAGTAGATACATGGACAGGGGATAAAAAACACTATCCCCAGGAGTTTTAGTGACATAATAAACCAAATTGCTTTCTTTAAAAAAAAGCAACCAAGAATCCTTATACGCTTCATATTTGAACGGTCAATTTTCTGTACAATTCTGATATTAATAAACATTTTTATTATTTCATTTGATACATGTTTGCATTGGTCATTATCATTAAAAACAAATACGAAAAAGGAGACATTACAAGAACTTGGTAAATAGAAGCTGATGTATAGGAACCAAAAACAGACGTTTATCATTAACTTCTAAATTGCGGGATTTTCTCGCTGCGTTAAAGACCCATTGGTGGACTTGGGCTGTTTTCTGCTCTTTGGTTGGCTTGTTGTCTCTTTGACGCATTCCCCGTTTCCACCCGCAATTCTATAGATTAAAAATGTTAATGACAAGTGAATTTTAAAGTGAATAACTTCAAAATATTGGTGTAGTCCTTGTAACGATTTATTTTTCATCAGAAAACAATACAGACGACAAACCATTTTCTCGCTCTTTCTTTC